GTTAACTCTGTTTCCCGTGTTGTCGTTGTGCGTCTTATTTTGAAAGAAATATTTACGCGATACCATAGCAACAGAGAGCATTAAGAGGGGAGGATGTTACTCAGTGTTGTTGGTGCATTTTAGGAGGACGCTGCTAATATTATATTTACAAAATGCCAGTCATGTCTCAGTCGTGTCATTTTATCTTTGTTATGATGTGGTGGTCTGACATTCCTCTATCAAAGCTGGTGTTTGCACTGAAGCTGCTGGTTCAGAGCCACAGCTGCAGTCAGAGGCTCCACAGTCAGGGAGGGGGGGTGTCGGTGCTCTCTGGTTGTCGAAGCCTGAACTCTGTGTGGCTCACTGACGAACACACCGCACACTTTCTCTCTTCTGTTCACAGAGTTAATAAAGCTGGTCTGACCTCATCATCTGTTGTGCATTAAAATCATTTCTCTGCGCTTTCAGCTGCAGTTTGGGACAAACTCACGACCTCGGGCTCAGACGACACAGACACAATAGTTTGGACAGGGCCAATAAAAGTGGCGCCTGGCACTTCGCTTACTTAGGAGCTGGTTGCAGTATGTACCATTCATCACAGCATGTGTTGGCACCAGTTATTTTTGGAATGGGAGAACTATGCTGTGTGCACATCAGATCGTGTTCCCGACAATAACATGACAGGAGGTTCAGCTGAGGCGGTGGGATGGTCGGTGTCCATGAAACCAGCGTGCTGTTTGCAGCAGCTGCTCCCAGACCAGCGCTGATACTGACCACTGAGCTTCAGATGGCATGTTCCTGATCCTAGCAGGATCCTGTTTCTGTGGCATCGCTGTTTTCCTAATGATGCACCTAAAATATATGAACCGACACATGAGCGCCAACCAAGGCCTGATGCTCTGTGAACAAAGCATGCCACAGGGTTGGGTGTCTTAGCTTAGCTCTCACCGACGTGTGATAATAAAAGTCTGCTGGTCACATGTTTGAAGAGTTTGTGGAGTGAAGCTGATCACTGCTAACATGATGTTTCACTTTAAAACAGCAATTCAAGAAAAATCTGAAGGGAGTCAACGGAAACAAAGACTTTGACCAGGACATGTTGGAGGATATCTACAATGCTATCAAGTAAGGCGCCAGCATCCCTGATGTGTTAGCATCTGCTCTCAGAGTGAGCCTCATGTCTGTGCTCATCCTGCTCCAGGATGTTAAAAATGCCCATCACGCTGCTTCATTCACCCCGTTTAGGTTGATTCTGTTCATCTGCTCGTAGCGTTGAATGTTTCTCCTGCTGAAACATCTGGATGAACAGGATCAGGCTTCTGGGCTTTCCTTACCTGCATCCACAGAT